GTTTGCTGCATTGGGCAGGAAAGGCCTGAGTTTAGCCTTATTTTCTAACAATTCACACGTGTTTTTTAAAGACAGTGACAAACTAAACTGAGTTGAGATAAAAAAGGCATTGCTCATTAAAGTGTCTTTGTAGAACTAAAACAGCATCCACCGTAGAAGCAGCCTGTTTGCTGTGATAGTCTCCACTTATGAAAACTGTGTATTAGATTCAATTATATTGTGAGGTGTAAAAATGTATTTTATAGTTTTGGTGAATTGACTGTTTTGTATATATGAATTTTATAAATCTATTAAAACTTGACTTGTTGTACTGTTCTGTATGGAGTGTTGCATCTTTCAGTACAGACCTCAATTGTTGTATAATTTTAACCTTGTTCACTTGCTTACTGTGATAGTCCAGGAACTAGCTGAGGCAATCTGGGAACGGTTAGTGGTGATCTTCTAGGATTTCATCCATCCACAGTGAGTTCTTGGAAGTCCGGAGAGGGGCAAACAGTACCCACCTTTTAAAAGGAGAACACAGAAAACTTGGGATTGACTAAACTTTTATATAAGAAAGGGTACTGAGGAAAATTATTAAACAATGAGTTTGTAGGCATCTGGAGGATTAGCTATATATTTTATAAATGTGCATCTGTTAGTGAGTCTGTTTATTGAAGAATTACTCCTAAATGATAAGAGTTAGGATCACCAGACTTGGTATGTAGCTTCCTTTTATCCTAACTTAAGCAAGGTCAGGGTTTGGTTGTGCCAGGACAATGGAATGTGACTTGTTTCCATAAAATGGAAAGGGGGGGGTGTGATAGGAGGAAGTTATACTATGTAATGACCACAGGGAGGCAGCAAGCCACTGGCCCCCCTTCCACATGTCCATGTTGGGCCCAGGGAGCACTACCAGGAGAAGGAGCTTTGCCTCACCCAGGGCAACGCTGGCAGCCAGAGTGTGTGGCTCCACACCCCACAGCTGAGTTTATCAGAAATAACCAGCATGGATTTCTCCAGAACAAATCATTGCAATGTAAATTCTTTCTTTGACAGAGCTACTGGCCTAGTGTATGGGGTGATACCTGAATTTGAGTAAGGCTTTACTATAAAGTGGGTGCACAACTGTTTGAAAGGCTATACTCAAAAGGTCGTTATCAGTGGTTGCGTCAAACTGGGAGGGTGTAACACATAGGGTCCTGCATCTGATACTTGTCAATATTTTCATTAATGATTTGGATAATGGAGTGAAGAGTATGCTTAAAATTTAGAGATGGCATCGATCTGAGAGGTGTTGCAAGCACTCTAGAGGAGAGGATTAGAATTCAAAACAGCCTTGACTAATTGGAACACTGGTCTGAATTCAATGAATTGAAAGTCAATGAAGATAAGTGTAAAATATTTCACTTAGGAAGGAAAAATCAAATCCCCAAATACAAAATGGGGAAATAAATAAGATCTAGTGCTGCCAAAAAGGATCTGGGGTTATAGTGGATAACAACTATGAGTCAACAATGTAATGCAACTGCAAAAAAGAGTAATATTCTTGGGTGTACTAACAGGAGTATCCTATGTAAGATGCAGAAGGAAATGGTAGTGGGCATGAAACCTCAGATGGAGTATTGCATCCAGTTCTGGGCACCACACTTCAGGAAATGTGGATAAATTGGAGAGAATCCAGAAAGGTCAGGTTTTCTAAACCTTTAATTATTGATCTATCAAGAAAGTTATTTAAAACTAGACCTATTTAGTCTTGAGCGGAGAGGAGGGACTTAAAGGACAATTATCAATGTTCTCTATGCTAAGATGGAACAAGAATTAATAGGTTTAATCTTCCATAAAAATATTTAAATTAGATATTAGGAAAAGCGTTCTAACTAAGGGAAGTTAAGAGCCTCCTTATAAGAGGTTCAGATTGGACAACTATCAGAGATGGTCTATGTTGACTTGGCCCTGCCTCAGCACAGGGATATGGACTTGATGTCTTCTTGAGGTTTCTTCAGCCCCATATTTCTATGATTCTATGAAATGAATGAGATCAGGGCTATCGTACAACAAAACCTTGTGTGGAAGAGCCCTTTTCCCAAACTTGTACATATGCCATATTTCCTTAGACTTGATTTTGCTCTGAATTGCTGCTCCTAAGTCTTTGGAAGAACTGAACCTTTTAGTATGGCATATGGACGAAATGTTATCCTATATAGAGCTCTATTAAAATTCAGATTCCTCCTGTAGAATTTCGGTAGCTGATGTAAATATTAAAAGTTGATGGGGGTACAGCTAGAATCACTTGTGTTTATATATTTCAAGCTCAGCCAGGGAAGATTTTAAGCTAGTTCAGTTGATGACACCTGTTAGATGTAAATTCTCTTCAGCTGCATAGTATCCTGTTATAGCAGTATGACCTACATATGTGTCCTTCTCATGGTGCCAGTTCCCCCCTTATCAGCTTCATTTGCTGTTTATCGCTCATGTAGAACTACTGACCTTTTGGATAATTTTAATAATCTACCTCTTTGCTATACTGTAAAAAGAGGCCAATCTTAACACTGCCTAATTCTACCAGCCCTTGAACTGCTAATTGTAATCCCTTCAACTCCTTCCTCTCTTATACTTTGGCTGTCACATGTATAAGGAAAATAATAGCAATACTTATTCAGCTGTTGTATGGCTGAAACTTCCATCACAATTCTGAATTCTAGATTGATATTACATTGTGAATTCCATTTGACCAGGGCAGTACAAGCACCATCTTGACTCTCTTTTGTTAACTGTAAATGTTGGGTGTTCCAGGCTAGTTATCACCGTACAGATACGTGAATTGGCTTCATTTTCCCTCCTTCTCTTCCCCCTCCCTCCCCCGCGCAATGCAAGTGAGCATCTTCAGCTCCCTTTTAGCCTAGTGGGAGTCGAGGGTTTTAATGCTTCTGAAAATTGGTTCAGTTCAAAGACCTGAACAGGGATATAGGTGCCTATGAGGAAGCATTCAAGCTCAGATGTTTAGGTCTTGGTCAGAATAATGCCCAGGTCAGCACTTGGGGTTGCTGCTGCTACTCATTCTATAGCCAATCAGACTCTCCCCCCTTCTTCCACAAAGCTTTTTTGTCCCTTCCTATTTTTGGCTTCTTCTAAATAGTGGGAATAGCCATGCATTCCTTTGCTTTGTCATTGTCCACAAGGGAGACTTCCATATCTCAGCACTTCAGAGTAGCCCCATCTCTCTTCTATATTCCCTTTGCAATTGTGCCACATTTGAGAGCTGCCTCCACTCCACCCCCAAATTCTCCAGCAATATCTCCCATTTTGCATTAGTGAAATCTCTCTGGAGACTGTCTTAAATTCAGCTTTAAGTTTACTACAAGATCAAGCAAAGAGGCAAAAGAAAAAGAATAATCTCTTGTTAAAAATAGCCACTATATTTAAGAAACACTAGACTAAGATTTGGGATAGTAGATGGATTTATAGTTCAAATATGACTTGCTTGAAAGTTTCTGCCTGTCTGAAAAAAATCTTCATTTTGGAGTGTTCTTTTTTTAAATGTCTTTAGTGCTTAGCCAGCCAGCAGGTGGCAGCAGCAGCAATGTTCACATAACATGGATTCCAGATGTGCAGACTGGAAAAAATGCCTTTCCAGTAATTGACATCATTAGTCTTTTAGAAGTCAGAACCCCCATTGTTCTTTGTATGAATAATGCTGGTTTTAATTTTTCTATACATTTTTCTTCAAGTGAGCTTAACTTAAGTCACTACAGATTTTTCTCCTGCAGTCACCTGCATTACCAGACTCCAAGTTTTCCTCAGGTGTCTTCCCCTGACCCCTCCCCCCCTTCCCCATACAATACACAGGTTATGGTGGCCTTCTCAATCTCAAATTATAGGGAGGTGGGCAGGGAAAATGCTTAATCATGAAAGCCCAAAGTTTCCCCCTCTGCCACTGAATGAAATTGCCTCAGTTTTACTTTCTTTTCTGTTTTGGACACTTGGGAATTAAAGGTATTTTTAGATCAGAACAATCTGAACTCTGGCCATTAAGCTGCAAGTTGATGAGTATATTATCGGTGTTGGAATTCCGAGCGAGACTGTGATGGAGTAAGTCAGCCCCCGCCGGCACACATGTCTGTCACTGTAACCGGGCTTGAAAAACTATCAGCCTCTCCAGCTCTGAGCTATAAATAACTGAAAAGTTACTGCGTGTACTAGCAACTGAAAGGCAGCTCCGCTGCAGCTTTATCTCAGGAGAGGCACCCGTGCCTGTGCAGCAGTAACTTAAGGATCTTGGGGAGGGGAAGGGATGGCAGCTTTTTAGCTGCTGAAGTTAAAAAGGGAAAGGAACCTCTTAAGTTCCCTTAAAACTAACCCCATTGATTATGTTGGATAAACAGAAAGGGTTCTTACTGCTTGCTTGTTTGTAATACCCCTGCTGCCTGTTCCCCCGTTTCCCCCAAACTACAGGTCTGCTCTTCACGTGGACTCCATAAGGCTATAGTTAGAAAGCCCTAGTTCTGCACCTGTGCTTGGTGCAACCTGTGGGCAAGGGACATGGCTGGAAATTGGCACTGGGTATAAAACAAAATAAAGGAACAGTTTCCGTGCTTAGAGCTCAAATGCTCAGTAGATTGAGGCCATGTCTGCACTGGAAAGTTTGCATTGGTTTAACTTGCATCGGTTTTTAAACCAGTTTTATTTAAGCTGGTACTTATGCCTATGTGGACACTTGTTTTGATTTAACATGAGCCTGTTCCCAGCCAACTTAAGCCAAACTGAAATATGCCACTTTTCTACCAAAACATAAGCATCCACATAGGGCTTTGTGCGTGTTTGGATTCGCATCTTCGATTAAACCAGTAATAGAGATGTAGCCGTGTTAGTCTGGTCTAGCTGAAACAAAAGGCAGGACTACGCAGCACTTTAAAGACTTAAAGCACTTCAAATTGATCTGAGGAAGTGGGTCTGGCCTACGAAAGCTCATCCCCTAATAAACCATCTTGTTAGTCTTTAAAGTGCTGCATAGTCCTGCCTTTTGTTTCAGCTTGATTAAACCAGTGTGACTTCCTTTTGTGTGTGCGTGTGTGCGCGCGCTCTTAACCTGAATGACTGAAACAAATTCCATGCCATGTTAGGAACCTCAGAAAAAAAAAAGAAACCTCTTTCATTCCAGTGGGGAGTTGCAGTTTCCTTTTTCTGCAGGCCAGTAACTTATGGTGAGAACAATCAAATGCATGGCAATCACATAATAAAACTCAAAGTGATGAGTGGAGCTTGCTTTTCCCAACCCAGAAAGGAGGAAGGACAAGTCAGAGCAAGGGCTAATTTTCCTCCCACCTCCAACGATGAGGGGAAGAGTCCGCTTTGGACAGTTTTCTAGAGCTTAGTTTCCTCCTCAAGGAAGAGAATTTGTCTCCAAGGACTTTCCTTAGCCCTGCATTGTCTCTAGTGACGGGCAGATCCTTCCTCATGGTGGGAAGCTGCCCTGTGAACATTTCCCACTTAGCCAAGGCATCCACCGTCTTGTCCACTTGATCCAGCTCCTCTTCGGAAACATTCTTCTCCAGAGCGACGATGCACATTTCCAGCCATAGTTCATAATCTTTAATGATATCTGTGGACTTGGTAGTACTGCCCAGCTGTTGCTGGCTGCTTGTGTCAGCCAGAGAAGAAAACTGCTGGTCATGCTCCAGCTCCTGCCCAATGGAGAAGCCTTGACTGCAAGTGTCTGGTGTCAGTAGCTCAGATAAGGAAGTTAAAGGCTCGGAGTCATTCTCGCAGCACATCCCAGAGTCGGAGCTGAATGGCAGGATATCCTCAGAGGTTGACAGGTCTGACTCCTGATTAGACCAGTTAGACAATACAGTTTGCGTCCAAGCATAGAGTTTCTGTGGGGGGTGGAAAAGGTTCTCTTGTTAGAGACTTCGTGCGAAAAACGTAAATGGTCCAAGATTTTCAAAAGTGCCAAGTAATCTTAGGTCATTCAATTTTGGGCTGTTAAATGTAAGACATTGTAAGGGCCTCTGATTTCCGGGAAGCACTGAGCACAAATCCTCTGGAAATTGGGCCCTCTTTAAGACATTTCACGCTGGGTACCCCAAATCACTAGGCACTTTTAAAAACCTTGACCATACAGTAACAAGAACAGAATAACAGCACCAGCATTCTAAATATGATTCAGTGCTAACTCCTGGTTGAGAGACTGGGCCTGGAATACTAAAAACGCTTTCACATGCTGTGGTTCTGCAACATTCCTTGCAATGATTACTGCTAGAAAAAACCGGGGCTTAACTGCTCATGAATACCCTACAAAGGATGGTAGAGGGGTAGCTGGGTACGGCTCTCCAGTGGCTGCGCGGGAGATACAAGGGGGCTGAGCTCCCACCCTATGAAAATTGACCCACATTGCCACTTATGGCATGAGTGCCATGGGTTGCCAACCCTTGGCCTAGCACAGGGATGGGCAATAATTTTTGGTGGGGGCCACTCCAAGATTTTAAGTGGTCAAAGGCTGCACTTTTCAGTAGAGTGGGTACAGGGTCTAGGATGCATGTTGGGTGCAGAAGGGCACATGGGGGAAGGGACAGGGGTGGAGGAGACTGTGGGGTCTGAGAGGGTGTTTGGGTGAAGGAAGGGGTTGTGACCTGGGGGAAGTGCAGTTGTGACCTGGTCAGGGGATTGAGGTGCAGGGTCTGGGAGGGTGTTTGGGTGCAGGAGAGGATTCTGAACTGGGAGAAGAGTGTAGGAGGGGATACAGATCATGGGAGGAAGCAGTGACCTGGGGCACAGGGGTGTAGAGGGTTTGGATGGTGACCTGGGGAAGGAGTTGGGGTGCAGGAGGGACAGGGGTGCCAGAGACAGGTTCTGGCTAGGAGGTGCTTACGTAAGCAGCTCCTGGCCAGTAGCCCTGCAGCACCCCTAACACAGGCTGGGTTCCCTGCCTGCTGTAGCCCCAGACTGCTTTAAAATAGATTGCATCCTCCATGTGCCTCTCAACTCTGGGGAGGGGGGGGAAACAGACTTGCACTTTACCCCATCTCCCAGGCCAATCTCTCAGCTCCTATTGGCTGGAAGGTGAGAGATTGGCTGAGGTCAGTTCTTATTGGCTGGTGTTTTCTGGCCAGTAGGAGTTGAAGATTGGGCTGGGGTGATCACACTAAGCTTCTCCCCTTCCTGCAGAGCAGAGAAACATAGGGACGGTACTTTAAACAGCGGCAGCTGTGTGCCGGAGGGTCCCGCCAGGGTGGTCTGTGGGCCAGATCCAGCCCCCGAGCCGTATTTTGCCCAGCTCTGCCCAAGGAGGCAGCTGTGTGCCGGAGGGTCCCGGCAGGGTGGTCTGTGGGCCAGATCCAGCCCCCGAGCCGTATTTTGCCCAGCTCTGCCCAAGGACCTGTGTGCCATGTGATTGGTAGTGAAGCAACAATCCAAATTGGTGCCATCTCTCTAGAGGAAGTGAGGTTACATGAATATAAATGCTCCTGAGGCAAAGCTAAGGAGTCTTGTTTCACTAACATAATCATTGCTATTTAGCATGCATTTTCAGTCTCCAGACCAGCTTTTCATCCCTTTATTTGAAATACACAAGGAAAGGCTGGGCTCTAGGAAAGAATTGATAGCCTTTTAAAATACTACTTTCTATCTCAGAAAATTTTCATGCTTTGTCAACCAGCTGCTTGCTTCTGGCACACTTATTCCTTAGGCCTTTGGGAATTAATCCTAGCACTTGGCAATTGTTAATTGATAAAATGTGGTCTCCTTGTCTGTTTAGCTGGTACACATGTGGATTCCTTTTGTTCCTTAGCATTCACCCTCCTCCCCCTCCTATCAGCTGACACACTGCTGTATCTTATCTTTGTTTTCTGTTCCTCCCCAGCTGGTATCTTTGCAAAGCTGTAGCTTCCTTCAGCAAAGACAGTGGTAGCAGTTAGAAAGTACTGGCATGGGGCTGGTAGATAGCGTATTAATGGTGTGAGTGCACTGTGCTTTCTGTTCCTACTGAGGCTGGTGATGGGCTTGTCCCAGCAGAGGGCACCAGTGTTGCACTGTGGCCCAGTCTCTATGCCTCACTGATTTGCAGAGGTTCCTTTTCCCAGAGCTTTCCATTCCTCCTCTTCCCTTCCCCTTTCTGTAACTGCCTTTTTTCCCCAGGCCTGTGATAAACAGCACAGAGACCAAGCTGAGTGGGTGGGGAAATGCAGCCGTGTGCCCTGGCCAAGAGTTGTGTACAGGGATGCATCTGAACAGTTGAGATCCCCCTACAGCCAAGAAAAGGGAAGACTTTCCTTCTGCCTTGCTGTGGAGGATACAGTTAAAGCAAGCTGTGCACACGCCTCTGCACTGACCACCCATGTGCATGTTCGACAGAACATGCATCAAAGCCTGCAGGGGGGCCTGAGTGGAGAGAGTAGCAGTGATGCTGTTTGAAAGCTGCAGCTACATTCTGGATTATATTCTGGCTCTTCAAATTCCGAAGACATCAGTGAAACTTCAGAATAATCAGAACTGACACTCCATCGACAACCACCTGGGAAGGGAGAGTGTATTGAAGGGAAAAGATAGATGAAGCCAGCATATCCATGCAGAGATGGCTAGGAGACCTGTGTGAATAACGAATTTTTCTGGTCACCGATAATTGAGGGGGTGGGGTGGTTGGGAGCAATCTGAACACTAAATATTTTGGCAAATGAAGGGAAAATTAACTTCAGGTTGACAGACATATGGATTTGACAAATCAAAACATTTACTTCTGACTTGGATCATTTTAAAACATTTTTGATTTTCATATGAAATTCAAGGAAATTCAAAACAATGTCACTTGGAACCAAAAATAAAAATGTTTCCGTTCAAAAATGTGAGTGAAACATTTTGATTTTTCTTCAGAATATATATTTTTTTACTCCTACAGTTAAGTAAAACTGACATGGAGTTACAGACTGCTTCAGTGTTGCCAAATCTGCATTTTCATGGCAAAATTCTGCCCGCTCTAAGGCTCGTTTAGTTCAGTCAAGAAGAGGAAAGAGCTGTCCCCAAAATCATTGTAATGCGGGGAGAGGGAATCCTTTACTATCTTTCAAGACTGCCCAGCGCATTTTACACCAGGGCTACGTCTACACTGGCCCCTTTTCCGGAAGGGGCATGTTAATTTCACCTATCGTAGTAGGGAAATCCGCGGGGGATTTAAATATCCCCCGCGGCATTTAAATAAAAATGTCCGCCGCTTTTTTCCGGCTTTTAAAAAAGCCGGAAAAAAGCGGCGGACATTTTTATTTAAATGCCGCGGGGGATATTTAAATCCCCCGCGGATTTCCCTACTACGATAGGTGAAATTAACATGCCCCTTCCGGAAAAGGGGCCAGTGTAGACGAGCCCCAGATGTTTAAGGGTTTGTGTGCTCTTCAGCATTTTTCTATTCTTCTTCTTCACCAAATGGGGCAATCTCTGCACGCATTTCTCTATCTGCAGGAGACTTTGAAATCCCTGGCCATGGGAAGGGAGATGGGACAGAGCCTGCTCAGGGTGCACTTGAGTACTGCCTGAAGTCCACTTTTTAACCTTACAAGGGACGAGAGCTATTCCGATTCCCATATAGTCACCCTGTCTGTCTCCATTAGTGTACAGTAGCCAGGGTCAGCTGGGCCAGGAGAGGTTCATAGATGTGAAAAGTGGAACTAAGCAATTTGCAGGGAAGAGAGAAAATGAACCCTTTAAGGGATTGCCAGAGTATAATCAGCTGCAGTTACCTGCCACTTGTGGCATTCTGAAGGTAAAACGGAATAAAGGTCTTTCAGAGTGAGCCCGAGTGAAGTCTTACCTAGCAGGACTGATTCACACCAGCCAATGAGGGAATGAGCTGCACAGAGACAGGACTATCCCCTGCTTTAAGCCAAACCCTGGACCACCATCTGAGCATCCTTAAGCCACTACTCTGCACTCCTGAGGAAGGGCAAGGGCCTTATTAACCAATTCTCTTCCCAGGGGCTGAAGCTTGCTGTGCAATAACCTAGGACTTGTCTGCACTGTTGTTAGCTCAAACTGTAAAATGAGCATTGCCCTGACCCAGCTCCTGTTTGCGCACGCCTCCTGAGCTGGTGCTTTACACATGAGCTAGCTGGCCATCCAGTGTGTGTGTGAAATCCTGAGTGGTGCTAATGCAGTGAGACCACACGGGTCCTCTGAGCTGCTCAGAGCTTGTTTTGCAGCGTGACTGGGTCCTGCTAGCCTGACTTGAGAGCCGTGCGCTCCACCTCGCACTGCAGTGAAGGCAAGCCAGGAGGGCAGGGCTACACTGCAAAACAAATGCCTGCAGCAGTGAGTCTGTGAGGCCAGGTCTACAGACGTGGGCTTGCGCTGCAGCACTAAAAATAGCAGCATGGACATTTCTGCTCAGGCTCTGAAACCTATCCCCACCCTGAGTTTCAGAGCCCAGGCTCCAGCATGAGCTGGAAGATGCAGGTAGCTATTTTTAGTGTCATTGCACTGCAGACTTGGGCTGGAATCTGTAGGCCTAGGCACTGAGGGTGTGTGCGCGCTGTGTGTGTGCGCGCGCTGTGTGTGTGCGCGCGCTGTGTGTGTGTGCGCGCTGTGTGTGTGTGCGCGCACACTATCCACATGCTCTTCTGCACTAGAGCCTTAAGGGAATACGGCAAGGAAGAGCTCACTGCTCAGAACAGCCTGTGACACTGTAGGGGAAACAGATGGAAACTGTGTAACAAAGGAGCAGCCTGGCTGCTTTTTTTCCTCTGAATTTATCAAGATAAAACAAACCCTGGCTGATGTCAAAATAGAGCATATTTGAGTATAAATTCAAATCAATCAATTGCAAAGAGGTCCTCCTCTTACAGAAGACTGCCCATCTCCCTCAGCTGCCCCGTCTCCCTACAACCTGTGCCCAGGGGTCTAGTCTAGGCAACAGCATTCTCTGCTATGGGGAAAGGCACAGTTTGGTGCCACGCATTAGCCATATTCTTTGCTTATGCTCTGGGCTATTGTGCTCGTGAGGAGAGGTTCCTCAACTGGAAGAAGTGAAAGGTGATGCGGATTCCCAACACACCGTATGGGATAGGTGTGCCCACTCAGAAGAGGCTTTGCAAGCAACTTTGCTTTCTGATATGGTTTTTGCCTCCCTGTGCTCTGAGCCCTGTGCTGTCTAGTTCTCTATTTAGTCTGTCTTCCTCGGCACTTTGGACCTGCATCAATGCAGTATTTATTAGTCCCTTATGGACGTTATTAGAACCCCACTACATAGCCCTGCAAATAGTCTACTCAAGTTCCTTTTTTAGATTCTTGGAGGCAGCTGTGGTATTTGTGGGGTAGGAGTGAATTTGTTCCTCTTCCTCAGGGTTTCTTTCACTGTGGCTGTGAGGAAGCTGAGCTAATTATGGAATTTACTGTAATGAAACAGGTGTGGCAGGAAACCCTTGATGGAAACATCTATTCAGATCGTATTTCTCTTTGGGAGAGATACCAGACAGAGGGCACTTTTGCTGCTAACAGCAGCCCAAAGAGGGTGGGGCTGAGGACCTCTCAGTTTTGGATGTAGAACAGATGACCCAAGATCTAGACCAGCAATGGGCAACCTAAGCTAGTGAGTGGTCTACACAAGTGACCCTCCATCTCAGTGGACCACAAGATTGTCTCCCAGGACAAAGTAGTTTTGTAACTGCACTTGCATACCCAAGATTTCTAGGGTGTGTTGATTGAACCTCTGCTTTGGATGCAGAGGGAGCGCACAGCTCTGAGACAATGTGTGAAATCAACACACCTCCTTTCACATGTCCTTGCTTTATGTGCATGTCACTTTAGTAATTCTGGTAGGAAAAAACTGCAGACAGAAACGGATGGAATTTGGCAACCCTGCATATGGGCAACAGAAGAATGGCCATAGGTCCATCTAGCCCAGTATCCTGTCTGCCGATAGTGACCAATGCCAGATGCTCCAGAGGGAGTGAACAGAACAGGGAATCAAGTGATCCCTTTCCTGTCACCCATTTTCAGCATCTGACAAACAGAGGCTAGGGACACCATTCCGACTCATGCTGACTAATAAGTATTGATGGACTTATCCCCCATGAATTTATCTAGCTTTTTTTGAACCCTGTTAAAGTTCTGGTCTCCTGGCAAGGAGTTCCACAGGTTGACACTGTGCTGCATGAAGAAATGCTTCCTTTTGTTTGTTTTAAACCTGCTACCTGTTAATTTCATTTAGTGACCCCCTAGTTATGTTATGGGAACAAGTAAATAACTTGTATTTATTCACTTTCTCCATACCTGTCATGATTTTACAGACCTCTATTATATCCCCCCTTAGTCTGTCTCTTTAATCTCTCTTCAGATGGCACCTGTGTCAAACCCTTAATCATTTTTGTTGCCCTTTTCTGACCCTTTTACAATGCCAAGATATCTTTTTTTTCAATGAAGTGACCACATATGTGAACAAAATACCTCGTGGGCCACATGTGGCCCGTGGGCCACAGGCTGCCCACCACTGACCTAGATGGTGAAGCTAGAACTAGTGCTCACTTCCATTCAGTGAGTAGCAGCCCCACCAGGTGGTGTGCTCTTCCCCCAAGCATGGTGACGTGCTTCTGTGTGAATGTGTCTCACTTCCAGGCTGAATGAGCAAGAACTAGGAGGGGAAAGAACCTAGGAAACTCCCTGGAACAGCACAGCACACTCTGCACAGGATGACAATAAAATGCACAGAAGTTTAAAACAGGCAAGCCTGGAAAAGTCCAGTCTCTGGAGATGATGCGTATGCTTCAAAAAAGGGAGGGCACTGAGAATAAATGGTAGGCTTGCTGCTTTTGGTGTGTTATATAATACGCCTGCCCTATGGCTAGCATCCCGCTCTTTAGATACGAGAGGGAGATGCTCCTTCCAGCATGAAGGGGTTGTGATGGTGTCAAAAGCAATAGATGTCCTTGCTGGGATGGGAAATTATATGGTCTCACAGGGCTGTCTGAGCACAGGGCTAGGACCCAAGATGTTCCATACACTAACCACAGTCCTGACAGTGCCACTGTCCCTTTCCCACAGTCTAAAACGGGGTGCTGTAATATGGTTTGCAAAGAGCTTTGGAGGTTGTGTATGAAGTGCAAAGAATTCATCCTAGTGAATGTGTAGGTGATGCTCACCCTCCCTCTCTTGTGGCTGGTGTCTGTAACGAACACCAAGAGCTCTGTATTTCTAAGCCTGACCTTTCCTCTAACATGGCAGCCAGAGGCTGAGTGTCACAGCTGGGCTCCCTGGCTATGGAACCTCTTGCCTGACCCCTTTGCCCCAAGAGCATCCAGCAGCCCATCTCTCACCCTGTAACGCTCGATGAGTTTGAAGCCCACAACGTATTGCAGCTTCCGGAGGCAAACTGGGCAGGGCTCCAGGGGCCGCAACAATGCTTCATCCAAACTCAGTGCGCCCTGCATGATGCACTGTAGCCATCTGCAGCTCCCCAGGCCGATCAGGTGGCAGATCTCATGACATGTAACCTTTCAGGAAAGCAAAAGTTGCTTTGTTGTTTCAAAACAAACCAAACTTTCCCCACAAAATCCCCTCCCACAACCTTTCCTCATGCAGGGAGGAGAAAGAGGCATCCGCCCTCCTTCTCTGTTCAACCATGGACACTCTCCCAGCTTCTCCACTCCAGCCCTGACACAGATGGATGATCTTTTTCCGTGGTGAGAGGGGAACTCAGTCCCCTGAATCCCAGGCTATCTGGGCAAGTGTAGATGCTTTATTAAGGAGCTGAGAGAAGACCCTTTAGGTGGCACACTGTCATAGGTAGGGCCCTAACAAAGCATGGCCATGAAAAGCACATCTGGTCTCCCCTTGTGAGACCTGGTCTTTTATGTGCTCTTATCCTCTACTATACACATTTCATGGGGGGAGACCAGTGCTTTTCAAATAGGGGGAGGTTCTGATCCAAAAGGGAGTTGCAGGGGGTGTCAGTTATTTTTGGGAGAGGTGCTATTGCCACCCTTATTTCGGCTCTGCCTTCAGAGCTGGGCTCCTGGCCAGCAGCCACTAGCATCTAGCTGCCCACCTCTCAAGGCAGCGCTGCCACCAGCAGCAGTGCAGAAGTATGTGTAGTGGTATCGCAATCTCCTGCTATAACCTTGTAGCTCCTCCCCGCTCTAGGGATCTGTAATTACAACTCTGTGAACTTTCCAGTTTTAAATAGTCAACATCATGAATTTTAAAATCCTATGACAGTGCAATTGACCAAAACGGTCCATACATTTGGTAAGGCCCCAGTCATAGGCATAGGAATACTAGGCAGCCACTTGCCTCGCTATCTCCTTCAAGGGGAGGTGTGACTTGTACCACTGGTATCCGAGGGTCTGACTCAGGGCAGGAGTGGAACAGGAAAAGACCCGTGTCTCTAATGATGCCCACCTCAAGTTATTACCAGACACACAACCTGGGTCCCTCAGTCCCACAGAACGTGCTGCTATAATTGGAGTTAGTTACCCTGAGCTGACACTATGGATGTAAACGATTAATTAACTAGTCGAAACATGTCAACTAGTTGCTTCCCACTCCCCTTGCTGCCTCTATCAGAAAGAGGCAGCAAAATAGGGGGGTGGGGGAGGAGGAGATGCTGTGGGAAGCCGCTGGGGCTCTTGTGCATTTCAAAGCAGAAACACCGCATGGAGCTGGAGACCACAGGGGACTCCAAGTCCCCAGCTGGCCCCAGGCTCCATGCGGCATTTCAAAGGTGGAACACTGTGCAGCACTTCCACCTGTGAAATGTAGCAACAGCCGGGTGGGCCCTTGCTACATTTCAAAGCAGGAGCGCCCTTATCGAGCAATCAAATAACCAATGGAAATTCCATCGACTATTCAACTAGTTGATAAATTAACATCCCTAGCTGGTACCAATCCCACCTAATTCCCATCCTTCCAGCTTCTGAACAGCCTCTGTTATCTTCACCTTCCTTGGTAGTTGACCAATATGAAAGATGTCAGGCTTCCTCTTCTTCCTCCCCCCGCCCCAAATCCAATCCAGAGGGAGCTAGGGCAGGAGGCCAGGGCAAGGAACGCTAAGTGCCAGCTGAGGAAGCCAAGAGGGGGGGAGAGACAAAGCCAGCCCTGCAGCAGCTACTCTCAAAGGAGGCCAGTGAGGAAAAACCACAGACCAGGATGGGCAGATGGGGAGAGCTCATAAGGGACCTCTCCTAGGGAGATGTCAATGAGGATTATAAGCATATTAATTAACCGGGCTAGGCTGCCTGAGAAGAGACTAGCAGACTACAAACTATGAATCAGGGTAGAGAAGAGTCTGACAGTCTAGTGTTGGCTTAAGCATGAGAGCAGAAGCCAAAAATTTCTTAGTTCCTAATCCCACTTTGCCACAAGGCAAATGGTGTGAGCTTGCCTATCCCAGAATACTACAACTGGAAAGGACCTTAAGAGGTCAAGTCCAATCCCCTGCTCTCACAGCAGGGCCAAGCACCATAGATGGTTCCTGATAGACATCTATCCAGCCTGCTCTTAAATATCTCCGGAGATGGAGATTCTACAACCTCCCTTGGCAATTTATTCCAGTGTTTAACCTCCCTGACAGGAAGTTTTTCCTAATGTCCAACCTAAACCTCCCTTGCTGCAGTTTAAGCCCATTGCTTCTTGTTCTATTCTCAGCGGCCAAGGAGAACAATGTTTTTCCCTCCTCGTTGTAACACCCTTTTACATACTTGAAAACTGCTATAGTGAAGACTGTCCCCTCTGTTTTTTCTTTTCTCAGATAAACAAGCCCAATTCTTTCAGTCTTCCTTCATGGCTCATGTTTTCTAGCCTTTAATCATTTCTGTTGCTCTTCTCTGGATCTTCTCCTATTTCTCCACATCTTTCTTGAAATGTGATGCCCAGAACTGGACACAATACTCCAATTGAGGCCTAATCAGAACAGGCTACATCTAGACTACTTCCCTTTTTCGTAAAAGGATGTAAATTAGACGTATCGCAATTACTAATGAAGCAGGGATTTAAATCTCCCCTGCTTCATTAGCATAAAAATGGCTGCCGCTTTTTTTCCACATGGAGCTTTGTCGGGGAAAAAAGCACCAGTCTAGACGCTGATCTTGCGGAAAATAAAGCCTTTTCCGAAAGATCCCTTATCCCTCTATGAAATAAGGGATTTCAATGGCTTTTGCTAGGTTGGTCTCACTCCTCTTTCAGGGAATTGCCGTGAGAGGTGGGTTACTGAAGCTGCTGGCGAGTAACCCCCACGCTGCAGGACGTTGGCTTGGGTGTGTTGCTAACCGCACCTTGCAACACTGAACCACCTCCAGCACGCTGAACGGCAACGGCCGGTCTCGGGCCTTCTCGGTGACCTCCTGCCGCTCCTCGCGCCCCGCAGCTGGATGTAAGGCTGTGCAGTCTGGCTGGGGGAAACTGCCAGAGAACCTGGCAAAGCTGCAGACACCCACTTCTACGAAGAGAGGCACATAAAAGTAAGACTGGTCCTCTTAGCCTAACATCTGCCTCTAGCCTTAGCCCCAGGATGGGAAACTGCCTGCGCTTCATCCAACCTAGCCCTCCCCTTGCCGCACTGAATGTGGGGGCATGTGCTCCCTGGAAGACTTGTGCCTAGCCAGCCTACCCTGCCTGGACTAAGAGCCTCCTGGTGGTTTTGAGCCCTGAGCGCCCAGGTTTTACATTGGGAAACCCTGTTTCCTACCTCTGCAGTGGTGATTAAAGGGGGAGAGAAGGCCCCTACCCCATGAAGTGGTTTAAGATAAAGCGCTTTCTCCTTCATTCCCCTGGGGAAGAATAGAGGACGTGGCTTGCACCTTGTCCCGGCAGGGATTTGCCAAAGGTGAAGCTCCAGGTTTCACAGGGGTACAGGTCCAAGAGTGTGAGCCCCAGGACGCACAGGGCATCGAGGGGCTTGTTGTTCTTCAGGAAGGTCAGGATCCCATCTGAATGAACAGAAGAGAGAAGGTAAAAAAAGAAAGCCCCGTCTGCCCAGAAGGCCATGCAGAAACCACCATGTACTGCCACTGGGATGGAACTTGGAGTACAAGTCACAAGCTGGCAGAGGTGCTGAACTCAGTATCCAAGGAGAAGGGGGAGGGGATCTCCTTCCCTCCCTCTTTATCACCCGTTCCCTTTATACTGGGCACTATTAGACCTGGCTTCTTTGGAGCTGCTCCTGCTGCATAGAATAAAGCCAAAGGAGAAGCTGAAACACAGACAGTCCTGGTATGCCAGGGAGTGACTCCTGTGCCAAGCCATTTGGGGAAAGGGATGGGTGGGAGCACAGAATTTCCCTCCGCCCTGACCTGCAACAGCCCTACTGTTCCAGCCCTGGGCCGTTCCTGAGCTCGTGCTGCCAGCTGTACCAAGCCGCGTGGCAATTTTGCATTGTGTTGGAATGGTCACGCAATACTAGCGTGGCAACCCACCCACCCGTTCCATGAGGGACCTAAGGGTATCTCTACACAGCAACATTACTTCATACTAACTGGCATTAATTCGAAATAACTTAGTCCGCATCTACACAGTTATTTTGAAATAATGTCAAAATACTGTCAAGCTGGAGGACTTCTTACTCCTAGTTCTGTAACCCTCATCGTACAAGCAGTAAGGAAGTCGGAGGAAGAGCGCTCTGTTTTGAAATATCTGCTGTGTAGATGTTCCCAGTTTTGAACTAAGTGATTTTGAAATAAGCTACACAATTGACCTAGCTCAATTTGTGTCGTTTATTTCGAGTAAGCCTTGCTGTGGAGATGCACCCTAACTGATATTTGAACCCAAATTTCCTAATGTGAAAGGCTAGTGCATGAATTATTTGAACCCAAATTTCCTAATGTGAAAGACTAGTGCATGAATCCACCCAGCATTCTTTTAACGTGGCAACCAATCGGGACGATCTCCTAATCAGGCAGAATGAGATCTAAAAGCATGTTGTACATGCAGAGGGGAGGTGAGCAGCAGCTTTTATCTTGCCAAACTGAATTTAAAGATTTAAAAACTCTGAAAAATAAAAACAGAGAGAAGAAGTATGATGAGAATTTCCCTCCGGGTTAGTTATGGCTGTGGCTACCAGCCCCAAAGAGCTAGGTTTTCCATGGAAACAGGATTTCTCCCTCTTCACTCCCTTCCTCTCTCAGGCATTTCCTAAGGGAGCGGATGTGGGCTGTTAGACTGCCATGAGCCAGCATGCCAGATGGACCTCTTGCTGGCTCTGCTCTCCTCCCTCCTTACCTGCATGGAGCTGCGCTCGGTCTGAATCCTGGCTCTGTCGAAAGCAGCAGCGGATGGAGGAGAGGGGAACGGAGGGAAGGCACTTGACACGAAGGCCCAGGAAGAAAGATTCTAGGCAGCTTTTGAGGGAATCCAGCAGAGAGACCCCGGCAGGTTCTTCAATTAGATCTAATTGCAGAAGCATCCATGTCAATTACTTGTACGCAGGGACAGGTCAAAATGCCAAGGGATTTCTCTGGGGCTAGTCACTGGTACCGTAAGGGGTTAGCACTGCCAGGGTCTTTCAAGAGGTTGCCAGGTCTCCCTGGAGCCAGTCATTCAGACTAGGGGGCATTTCACTAGCACAAGCGGCTCAGAGGATTAGATGCCCTGTGGAGTATCTTTGTCTAGTCACTTGAAGGGCAGGCCAATGACAGGAACTAGCTCGGTGCAGGGTGTCTCTAGGGGGCAGGCAGACTGTGCAGGGAGGTCAGTTATGGGACCACTTTCTTAGTTCGCCATTTTGTATGTATTGATTTCAAGTTATTCATGAGGAAACCTCTCCCAAGGCACCTGCTGCTCTCTGAGCAACAGGAAGGAGCCATGGCTGACAACTGGAGATTGGCTCCCACCCAAAGACAGCCCATAGCACAGAGCCAGGCAAAATACAGCCCGCCAAGCCACCAGATCCAGCCTGTGGGCACAGCGGAGCTTCAGGCAGGTTCCCTGCCTGCCCCGCCCCACCCCTGCCCAAGGCCACTCAGAAAAGCTGGCTGCAGGACCCTGTTTGTCTTCCAACAGCTGTGAGCCCAGCGGGAGGAGAGGCGAGTCTTGGTATGTGCCCCTGCTCCCAGCATAATCTTGCAGTTCCCATTAGCTGATTTCTGGCCCCTGGGCACTGCCTGTTTGAAGAACAGGCAGCATGCAAAGTACCCCTCTCATCCTTCTCCTCTGGCCTGTCACTGCTCAGACACATGTGGCCCTGCTGGGCTGCTGGCTGGGACTCACCCAGGTACGCATCTCCCAGCCAGAGGCTATCTCTGGTTCTCCAGCCCTTTCCACCCCCACCTCTTACACTCCTGCTTTCCCTCCTGCTATCCCTCCAACCCTTCACAATCCCATCCTGCCCTAGGACACAACCCAAACCCCTGCACCCCAGTCCCCTGCCCAAGGTCAGAACCTCCGCCTTTACCCAAACTCCCTCCCAGACCCACCACCTCCTGCACCCCAATCTCCCTTCTGCACCCAACCTCCATCCCACACCCTGCACCTCCTCCATTAACAGCATGGAAAAGTGCAGCCCTCGCCCACTTTCCAAATTCTTGGAGTGGCCCCCATCAAAAATGATTGCCCACCCCTGCCTTAGCACCACAATGTCTGATCGATTGCAGCTCTCACAAGGTAAAGGTTGTCTGAAAAGGCCTGGCCATTCACAGGCTCAGCCTTAGGACAGACGAGGGAGGGTTGACACTGCTTATAAACCACACTCCCATTTCTTTAAAGGGGCTTATCGGCTGCAGGTATATGTGCTTCTGGCAGGCACTCTGCTTCCTCCTCAGCGTGGATTGATAAAAGGCCTCGAAGTCCTCAGGGGCGTCAGGGTGGCTGAGGAGCCAGTCAAAGCCTCTGGGGATTGTACGCTTCAGAGAGGAAAAGTTTCTCTGCACTGGAGAAGGCTCGGACATAGAGCTCCTGGAGGGCAGGGTTGGTAGAGATGAGGGCATCCTTCAGCGCCCGGGGCCCAAAGCTGAATTCCTGAGCATGTCTGCACTGCAACATTGCTGAGCGGCCCTGGGGCGGTGGCAGAAAGTAGAACCAAATCAGCAGCAGTTCGCCTCACAAGGGGATCTTGCACTTCGGGAACGTGGGCCCAGCGATTTCAGCTGGGAGGTGTCGGGGGTGCCCAGGGTTCTGTGCTGCTGCAGGCGTGGCGTTATTTCCCTCGGCGGTGATTTTCGTTACGGGGAGCTCTGCGTCTAGGTCGATGTAAATAGATAACGAACCAGCACGTGGCGCACAAAAACATATAGCAGAGTTCCTGGGGTCCGAGAGACCACTGCCCATAGCTTCCTCTAGCCACTGAGGTGAGGAACCTTAAAGCCCAGGGACCGGATCCAGGCTCTGGCTTGCCTGGATCCGGCCTGTGAGGCTCAAGACTCTCCCCTAGAGTGCTCCAGCCCTGCAGCCTCCCTGCAGACCACCCTGCAAGGCTGGAGTACCAATACCAACTCCCCGCTGGGGGAGGAGAGAGCCCCGAGACACGCATGCTGGAGTCAAGCAAGCCAGGGCCGGATCTAACCCACAAGCTCTGCCTAGCAGGGGGAGGAAGTGGCTCCGAGTGCTGCTGTTCCCCCTTCCCCTGGCTGGGGAAATAACAGCACAGAAAAGTACTGCCTGGAAGCTTTTCCCTTGCTGCTCTGGCTGTAATCCCTGGGGAGCTGGGCCAGGTGAGTGCCCCTGCCTCACCCAAATCCTGCAGCCCCCCTCCCACCCAGACCTCACAAACCCCACCTTGCTCCTGCAACCCCCATATACAGACCTCCCCCCCAGCTGCTCCTGCTTCCTTCCAAACCCACCAACCCCCAACCCACTCCTGCACCCTCCCTCCCACACCTCAAGCCTACTTCCTGACTGCTGCCTCCCACACAATGAACCCCTCATTTTTGGTCCCACCCCAGAGCCTGGGGGGGCACAAATCTATTTCCCCCTCCCCTCAGCTCTGGTGAACAAGGGGAATGTGGGGGAAGTCTTTCTGCATCTCAGGTGGGGGTCATGTCTGTGAGGCGTTTGCCGTTTTATTTATTTCTCATATTTGTGCAGCCTCCAACTGATTTTTCTGCTGGTCAGCGGCCTCCGACCCAAGAAAGTTCCCCACCCCTTCTCAAGCAGCTTTTTATGCTATTAACAATATTAGCCCGGAGTGGCTTCAGAGCTAGGTTGGGGGCAGGTTGCCAACTTGGATCAGCAAATGAAGTTGGTGTGTGAACTCATTCATTTGCTTTAGCCATATCCAGCTAGCTGGTTACATATATGGCCCCATCTCTGTAACGTCTGAGCACCTTTGTGCAATGCAGCAGACATGACAAAGAGAGAAACGCCCTCCACATCAAAGCCTGGAACTGAAAGGCCTCCAAGTCAAGCTGTAGAAACAGCCATGAGGAGCGAACATGGTCAACATAGTTTCCAGTTGGAGGGAGTCTTCCTCCTGAGGCCTTGGTTTAATGAGCTGTGATTGGACAGAACCAAAATGTTCGAACCGAGAAGCATTTCCATGAGAGCTGTGAAACAATGTCAAGAAAACTCAGTGTAACCCCCAAGGAGATTACTCAGATACCCAGGGCTCTGTCTGCTGGCAGCTCAGGGACAGGCACTCTGAGTTTGCCTTGGCTCCCTCTCCCTACCAGAGATAGAGTCTGCCCGGCAACCCATAGGGAGTGAGATGCCCCCCCAGGGAGTTCAGGAGGGGGAGGAGGAGCCATGTTTGGGGAAGTCTGGAGCCAGCCAGGGCAAGGGGAGGGCTGGCTGTGTGGGAGCTAGTAAGCTCCAGGCCTGCATGCAGAGTTCCCCCTGAGAACTAGCCTCTAAGGACCTGAAGGCAGGATCCCTCAGCTGGGTTTTATCTCTCCACTGCTGATTCCCAGTTTGTGGAGTTTGCTGGGAGGCTTCCCCAGCCAGGCTGAGTTAGCTCTCTAGCTCCCTGGGTGAGACCAGTCACCGCATGGTCAGCTCATGGGCCATTTAGTTTTGACAGTATTTGATATGTAGTCATTTTAAATGTCTCCCTTATAAATCAATTATGCTCCTTTTTTTATTTGTCTTGAGCCCTGCACCCCTTTGTGGAGAAGTGAAATCCTGGGACCAAAGCAGCCTGATTCCTGCCTGAATAGGATCCCTGCCAGCAGAGATCAGCCCCTCTGCAGCCCCTTTGCAGTGACTGAGTCATCTCTGAACCTGAGGCTCATTCATGGAGCATGTGAGTGCACCATCTTTTAGTTAGTAAGTCAGGGAATTTGTTTGGGGATTTTATTACCTGCTGCATATCAAATATGTGGAGAGATTTATTGCCTTCTCCCTTATGAGTCCTATGGGCTGTACTGGACCCAGTCAGCCCCACTGATAAACCACTGCAGAGAAGGATTTTGATGTCAAAAGTCATCAAGGGCCCCAACAAAGTACGGGTACCAACGGGACACTAACCTTACAGTTGCTGGGCACCGGGGACCCTAAAAATAGTGTTTTACCCTGTTCTGTTTTATTTGTCTCGTGTTCAGTATAATTGTGTTTAATATAGTGTATGTGTTTGTGCTATTTTTCTGGGAGTCTCCAACTATCTGGCAAATATATGGGGATGATCCTGGTTTAGAGGCCTCCCAAGGTGCCCTGGTGACCCTGCCAGGAAGGAGTGAGGGGGGTGGAGGCACCTCCAAATAAATCCATCAGAAAAAATAAAGTTGAGTACGTGGCGGGATCCAGAAGAACCCAGACCTATCCATCAAAACCTGTAAGCAGATTGGCTTTAAAGAAGGTAACCAGGTGGAGAGGGGGCGCTATATCAGGAATGCTGGGGATCGTCCCTATCTTGTACGTAACCCGGGGACTGCCTGTATCAGGAATGCTGGGGATCAATACCAACAACCTGCCAGTGAAGTAGAAATCAGCAGAATACTCTTAAGAGCTCAGCTTTCAAACACCTCTGAAATGCAGGGGACAAGACCGTGATAAACCTCTTGGCATGATGGTAAATGGAGGAGAGCCTGGGAATAGAACATCGTAGCCAAGGGTGCTGCACCAGGAAACTGACTATTGAATATGTAACACCACCAGGGGTACAGCGAGATCATAGCATCTGCCATTATCTGTGGAGCAACAGTGACTCGCTAAGGCAGAGCTAACAATTCATTACTTGTTAATAAATACCATGGGCCAAATTCCTTTCTGTTGGTTTGTGCCAGTCTAAGTGAGGGAAAGTCGTGGCCCACTTTTACTGTAACATTTAATACCAACTTTTCTATACATACCCCCTAGATGCTTTGCAACTAGCACTAGAGGCTAGTGTGTGTAAACTGGGGGTGTTAAATATCGGTTAATTGAATAGTCAGGTAACATCATGAATTCTTTAGTCGACTATTCTATAGTCCCTGGGGGCAGGGCTGGCAGCAGCACGGGGTGCCAGGTGGGAGCTAGTCAGCAAGCGGAGGCAATTTAAAAACCAGCTCCCTCCGTGGACCAGCTGCTTGTCACCCTGTGCTGCTGCCTCTGATACAGAGGCAGCAGTGCAGGGTGTCAGCAGCCCCTATCTGGTGGGGTAGGTCTGAGCTCTCGGACCCGGCACAAACCAGAACTGAGCCAAGCCGCCTACCTGCCCAGCTCCTAATACACTTTCAATGCAGAGCCACAGTGGGAGTAGGTCCCAGACTCAGCATGAGCCAGAACTGAGCTGGGCTGCTGGCCAGCATGCTAAAAAATGTACTGGCAAGGGCTGGGGGAGAGGGAAAATGCATGTAGTCTATAGCATTAATCTATAAGCTTTTGTTATCAGTTAATTGATTACACTATTACATCCCTAGTGTAAACAAGCATTAGATGTTGTGTGGCCTTCCTGAGGCTGAAAAGGAGAGCTCCGGAGAGCTCAAGGAATGAGCAGTGCCCTTTCTGATGGAAAGTCTTGGATTTCAACAGACCCAGTGCTTTGGATTGCAGAAGGCACTGTAATACTGAGTGGCCGCAGGGCCTTGTCCAACCAAAGCCTTAAGTTCAGACACCACCTACACCACTATCTGCACCCGTTCATCTGCATCTGCCCAGGGATGTATCCATAGATTCCATGGTCAGACGGGAACATACCACTCATCTACTCTGACTTCCCATATAATGAAATTAACAGGTAGCAGGTTTAAAACAAACAAAAGGAAGTTTTTCTTCACTCAGTGCACAGTCAACCTGTGACATTCCTTGCCAGGGATGTTGTGCAGGCCAGGACTTTAACAGGGTTCAAAAAAGAGCTGGATAAATTCATGGAGGATAGGTCTGTTGGTGGCTCTTAGCCAAGATGGGCCAGGATGGTGTCCCTAGCCTCTCTTTGTCAGAAGCTGACAATGGGTGACAGGGCGCAAGGATGGATCACTTGATGATACCTGTTCTGATGATTCCCTTTGGGACACCTGGCATTGGCCACTGTCAGAAGACAGGGTGCTGGGCTAGAAGGATCTTTGGTCTGACCCAGTACGGTCATTCTTATGTTATGATCTTATGTTAATGCAGGCCATTGAATTCTGCCCAAATAATTCCCAGAGCAGATATTTTAGGAAAAGCATCCCCCTTACTACCGTTGTAGAGGTAGAAGTCAGAACACGTGGGAGATGCATTCTCCATGCTGTTCATGGTTACAATCCACAGAAACATCCGGGTTATGTCTATACTCATGGCTTCTTGCGTGAGAAATATGCAAATGAGGCGGTGTGGAATATCACTAAGCCTCATTTGCATACCTAATGAGCCGCCATTTTTGCAGAAGAGGCTCTTGCGCCAGAAAGAGCTGTCTACACTGCCCCTTCTTCCCTAAAAAATACTCTCTTGCGCAATGCTGCTACTCTGAATATTTTCAGGAATAATGGCATTGTGCCAGAGTGTTTTTCTTGCGCTAGAAGGGGCAGTGTAGACAGCTCCTTCTGGTGCAAGAGCCTCTTCTGCAAAAATGGCAGCTCATTAGGTATGTAAATGAGGCTCGGCGATATTCCATGCTTAGTCTCATTTGCATATTTCTTGCGCAAGAAGCCGCGAGTGTAGACATAGCCCCGATGTCCTGCATCAACAAAGCAAAACACTTGTGGGGTATTGGACGGAGTGAGCACTGCCCCATAACCTGGATCCAGTCTCACAACTGGAGGAGCTCGAACGCCGCCAGTTCAACTTCTCTTCACATTGGGCTGGGTTAGAAGGTGACATTCTGGCTCTACTGCAGTCAGTGACTTCATTGCCGTTGACCTCAGTGCAGCCATGATTTCACACATTCAGTATGCTTATAATCACATGCTGCAGGAATCCAAACAATTCTAGTCACACGCAGCACAACGTTCATACAGACACTATATTAAACCCGTGATGGGACTGATCCCATGAGGCTGCTGAGTGCCAACCACTCATAAGGAAGTCAAAAGAATTTTAGGGTGCTTAGCACCTTTCACAATTGGAGCCTGTGAAAGCCTCTCTGTAGAAGTCCAGGTTGAAATTCTTCTTGGCAAGCAGGGTGTTGACAAGCACAATCTAGTCACTCCCTTGTGATTTTCTTGTATGTCCTGTGCCAGAGGCTTGGGGAAGGGTTTTGTTTTGTCACATCTTAATCTCAGTTGGGAATTTTCTAATTCCAACTTCCAGCTATTGGCTCATGGTATGTGTCAGATTAAAATACATTAATGCCAGATATCCAAAAATGAAGCAGATCGACACAGAGTGAAA